GAATGGACGCGATTTCATCAGGCTGGACTGATGTCGGGCCAGAGTCTGAACGTAGTTTTTCGCGAATGGCCGAGTGATCTATGTTTAGTCGAGCAGCGAAGATGTTTTGCTTGCAGTTTGAACAGAACTGCATGATCGTAAGCTTGAAAAAAGGATGTATATAATAAGCGCTCAATTGATTCGTCTTTCTACTCTTAAGAGTCCTTGACTTCCCCTTAGATCATATATATATTCCCAGCTATTGCCCACTCTTTCACCGGAGCTCACCTCGATGAACATAGGCTGTCTTTTTTGTTCACGCCCATTACGGGACCATCATCCGAAGCGACAAGTCCTGATATCCGCAAAACACAACAGCAGGAGATAATTAATTACAACTTCCTGAACGGTGTTCCCAAGTTGACGAAGTTAGAGATAAGTCCTCTTTCTCTCCTTGATAGCACCCAAACTATCAGCTTTCTTGATATTGTATAGATGATCGCAAACTCAAGTTTTCGACTGTTCATTCACAGAACGCGTCCGACCTTGCACGCTCTCCATTGGACCGACATTGATTATTCCCTCGCTTGGAAGACGCGATATGCTACTTCCTTATAAGTGCGCCAGGTATATCCCTATAACTTGAGAGCACTACCACCGTGAACTCAGTCAAAAGTTTTACAATCAAACCCTCATATATACCCGTTATGGTTACACGCAGCGCACAAAGGTGCATAAGCACATGCTCCTCAAGCTAACTGCTGGTAATAGAGTCATTGGGCAACTCGCACTAGCAACAACTCATTTGCTTTCACAATGATAGCAGGTTTGGAAAAGGCTCGGGAATTCCTGTTGTTTGTCAGTTACAAACTTGTGATCAAGGGGATGAACAGTGGAGGTCCTCTACCACTTCCTATCTCGAGAACTGCATCATTGGACAAAAGGCATTTGAATCGCCTCATTACCGAGTGTGCACTGATTACTAGGCATTGGACGTTGCATCTGTTCTTCGCATCAACTCTACCCATTCCGACATAACTCTCTTCTTATTTTGGACGCCGACCTGGCGAAAATTTCCGCGATTTTTACAGAATATTCATAGCAGGAAGGGCCAACAGGAAGCTGATTGTAAAATTAGGTGACTTCGCATAATAGATGCTTGCCTTGTTGTTGAGCTTGGAAGAAAACAGGTTGAGAGGCGTCACTACAATAATCACTAACAGGGCCATCCGGATGAATCACGGTCAACAGCCAACGTTAGTACGTTGTCAACGGTAGCACCTACCGAGCAGGTGATACTGTCCATTTTGTATCTTGATACCATAGTGCGAGCAATTTTTGTCGTAATGAAAACAGGTATTGGCAACGGTAGATCGAGATATCATAGTAAAAGTAAGAAGTGGCAGGGTTGCACGTACGAAATGCATCGGAGGTTTCAGTAGTGCTATTTATTCTGTACCCAAATCATCCTTCCACAAAATTACGAGTCTCATGCCATCCTTCTCGATATGGTCCAAGACATCGTAAACGCCTAGAGCCTTTTTTCTACACCGATATGTCATTGTAAATGACCGCAAACAGTCAACTTCCCGACTCAAAACGAAATCTGACGTCCAGCGAGACTTGATCATATCAACAACCGCTTGGTCGTTGAAATAAACTCCGTTGTAAGTTAATTTAAGAGAGCGCAACCTCGGGAGAAGAGGTCCATTCAGCAGGCGAAGGGAGCTTTTCCGATATCGATATGCATGGAGACTTTCTATTAGCCTTTCTGTGATAGGGTTTTGTTCAGGTGGAACTTCGGTGTCAATAAAAGTGAAATCCAACAAAGTTAGGACGTGAACTAAAAGATGGACCATACTCGAATCAGGAAGGTCGAGGCTTTCGATGAAGAGAGTTGTTAACGAGAAGGAGGAACGCTGAACAAAGGCCATGAAATGACTGAAGGATGCCCAGGGACCCGATTTGTGCTGTATGTTGGCTGGTTTGATTGTAAGAGATTTTAAGGCGGGGAACTTGAAAAAAGGGAACACCGGCGTTACAACGGTGCCACCCGCATCACGAAGATGAACCGTCAATTCCTCTAGGAGGTGGTATGTGGGGGTAAGACTTGAAGGCCATCAGATATCTCAAAGATATCTGGGATATCCAGCGCTATGAGATTGGTACTCTGAGCAAATAGACTCGGTCCCATGTCGGTCTCATTAACCATGCTCACTTGAAGCTGTGACAACTGGCTAAGTGGGAACTCGGAAGGAAAGGATGATGGAATTGTTGATAAAATGCTCAAGCATTTGAGATTGGAATACATACGAGTAAAGAAAATCCAATTTTTACTATGGCAGCCATACATGATACCCAAGTCGACGAGGTGTGGAAATGTGAGATCGTGCAACGAGGAAAGGGCTGTGAACAAGATATTGAGATCTTCCGACCGGAAACTCCAGAAACTAAAGCTACGCCAACGAAGATGTTGGTTAATCAATATAGACAAGGGTCTACACGTTAACTCTGCAGGTGGAATGTCGTTGTTCACCGCGTTGATAGCGATGGTGAGTGGGTGCTGTTTGGAACGCTCAACAAATAATGTCAAGGTTTCAGCAGGATGTTCGTAATAAGACTGATCAATTGTCCATAATGAAACACCGTCTCGCTCCATAGTCATTGCAAGCCAGATTCTTGACCATATCTGTGGCAAGGAAAGCCCAATTCTCCGCCAACGTGAGCAGACACTAATGAGAACCAGTGCAGGTTTATTTTTCAAACGTCCTATAGGATCCACCGGCGGATCCACACCAATCGATCTGAAGTAGTTCATATCACAGCATTCGTCAAAGATGCATCCCAAAATCTCGTCAGGAAGTTTTCGAATGGGAACAAGCAGAGACTGGATATGCTCCATGATATCTCGTGTGCGCTCCTTCTCCGCGATCAAGACCATTCGACGCGATTCAAGACGATGAATTTCCCTGTCATAATCATCTAGGTCTCGTCGCGCATTTTGGAGAATGGACGTGATTTCATCAGGCTGGACTGATGCCGGGCCAGAGTCAGAACGAAGCTTCTCGTGAATGGACGAGAGATCCATATTTAATCGAGCGAAGATGTTTTGTTTGCAGTTTGGACAGACCTGCATGATCGTAAAGAAAGATGGCTCAATACATAAGCGCTCACTTTGATTGATTCATCTTTCTTTTCTACTTTGACTATTAAGCACTCTTGGCTTCCTTTGGATGAACTTTCAGACATGATATATTCACATGTTCACAGTCTGGTGTGCTATGGCTCCCGCTCTTTCGCTGACAGAGCTCATCACGATGAAGATGAGCTGTTTTTTTTTTGTTTAAGTCCATTACAGGCCCGTCCTTGAAACAGACAAGTCCTAATTTCCGCGAAACGTAACAGCAGGATATAATAACTATAATCACAGCTTTTTGAAATGGTGTCCTCAATTTGGCGAAATTAGAGATGAATCCTTGTTCCCTCCTTGGAACTCTTTTTTATAGCAGCTATAAGCTCCTTCGTCTTCAACCCTTGTTCCAAAGTGGCGTAACTCCCAGCCTTTCCATCCGCAAGCGCTTTCCAAGCCAACCCAGCGGCAGTGGTACCTGCATTATCCACCGTCGTGGCAGAAGCTCCAACATCTTCCAGTTCAAGTTTATTTTCATTCAGATAAACCTTTGGAGAAGCATCAAAGAAACCAATCGCTCTGGTCCTATCGTCATCCCTGATTCTTATCGTACCCTTATCCCCATTGATAACCCAGTTGAAATCCGAATTGTTTTTGGCGCCGGAGTGGATATGTACGTTGAACACTGCACCGGAAACCAGCATTCCGCTGACGCAGATTTGGTGGGGGCCATCGTATGATATGATCTCCCCAGTAGGTTTCCCGCCATCGTCGATCACTGTGATTGAAGGGATCTGGTTCTCGAGGACGGCAGATAGGAAGGCCTCATATATCTCCTTTGTCTCCTCCAAGTTCCTGCCAATGGGCCACTCGATAAAGAGGTCCTTGCCTCCTTCGATGACCTTTAGTGCGACTTCCTTATGGTGCGTTACCCTCACAGCGACAACAAGCATATCAACATCCCTGTCTGCCGCGATATGCTCTGCTGAGCCGTGATACGCCTTAACGGTACCCGAAGCAAGCTCAGAATACTTTTTAGCACTGGCTTGCGCAGAGTCTGCGTTCCTGGTCGATACCGCAACAAGGGAGAACTCGGATGATAGCGGGGCCCTGAAGAGCGGAGGTGCTAAAGCTGTGGCTGCCCAACCGGTAGTGGATAGGCCAATGAAGCCTAGGCGGATTGGTTTACTCCTTGGGTTCTTGGATGCTGACATGGCAAGCGTGAATTCGTTGTGGGATCTTCTTGGCATTGGGTTTATGTGGACCGTCTTCATGATCATGGGACTCGGTTGTTTTCGCTTCCCTGCTTTACGCCTTTCTCAATGGTTCGGTTAACCTTAACTTGACCTACTTATCTCAGCAAGTATTTCTTTCAGGTTATGTCGGGAAACTATCGGGATTCTCTCATCTTTCATTGATACGCTAAAGTGCGGTGAAATAGGAAAACTCGCAGCTGACGTCTTCGCGTTTCTGCTGAGCACGTTATTTGTGAGTTTCTATCAGCCGGTTCTCTCCATCCCAAACAACGTTGATGTTGTCCTCCCTCATGTTCAAAGTCTGTCGTTGTCTTTCTCATCCACACCAGGTCCTACTATCAACAGTAATCTTTGCCGATTTACCCAACGTTTAGAGTTTGACTGATCAGTTACTGACCAATTTAACAAACATGACGGTATTATGCATTGTTACTGTCACGAAAACTATTCTACACATTGCACTGACAACTTCGCTACTCGACTATACCCTTAGTATATCGGTTCAAGACCCAAGTTCTTTCTAAATTTTCTGTTTCGCCAGTGTTATTTACCTTGAGAGCCCTGGACGTCGGGCATAAAAGCTGAAACGACATGTGTCAACTTGTTCATTGTAATGTATGAGCACAGTCTTGTACGGTTCGATGGCGTAGTTGGTTATCGCATCTGTCTAACAGCGTATCTCGCTTGCCACAGAAGGTCCCCAGTTCGAGCCTGGGTCGAATCATAGGTCCTGAAGCGATCTGGTTCTCTCACCCTCCTCTCTTTTTAGTCTGTATATTATACATATATGATTGCGAGATTTCAACAAAGTCGAGTAAGTGGTTCTCGCAGTAAACGACGTTGCGGCCACGGCCAACGACGAACTTGAATAATTATAATCTTTCACTCACTTGCCTTTTTCGGAAGATAAATACAGCTTTGGCTAGCTTGACTCGATGTTCATTTGAATTCTCTTTTTAGTTCATACATGTTTATGTAATACATACATCCTTGTGACTATAATTTGAGAGGAGTAGTGCGAAGATAGGGCTGTATAATGAATTTTAGTTTGTTGAAATAGAAAAAGTCAGTAAGAGCAACGCACGTAGTGTACAGTGTGTTCAGGGAACAGCCTCTTAGCCTCTTCGCCCTGGACGCTAGCGTGTACAACGACATCTTCACCAGGTTTCCAGTTGACGGGAGTAGCAACTTTGTATCTGCAAAGATCATCAATATCACAGATATACATACAGTTATATATAAGATAGTACTCACTTGTCTCCGACTTGAATTGCGTCGATCACACGGAGGATTTCGTCAAAGTTTCTTCCAGCAACAGCAGGGTAATCGAGCTTGAGACGGATCTTTTTGGCTGGGTCAATGATGAAAACAGTACGGATGGTGAAAGGAAGGCCAGATTTGGCATCGATGTTGGTGGCATCTTGGTAGTCGAGCATGTCGTAGAGGTACGAGACACGACGGTCACCGTCAGCAATCTACAGTTGATAAATAAGCAATGAACTAAATAGACACACGAAAAGACATACGATGGGGTATTGAACATCAGTTTCGGAGATAGTCTTGGTGCCATATTCATTGATATCCTTTACCCACTTGTGATGGTCGTCCAAGCTGTTCGCGCTGATCCCGATGACCTTGACGTTTCTCTTTTCCCAGTCTCCGGCTTTAGCACGTCGAGCAACTTCACCGAGCTCAGTGGTGCAGACGGGCGTAAAGTCACCTGGATGACTGAACAAGACGCCCCATGAGCTACCAAGGTATTCATGGAACTTTATCGGGCCCAAAGTTGTTTGTGCCTCGAAATCAGGCGCAGTAGAACCGAGGCGTAAAGCAGGCCTGTTTGGGTCGGGTGGAGGTGCAGTGGCTGGTGCAGACATGGTGGTAGAAGATGTAGATCGATAGCTTTGATTGAGGTATTTTATATGCTAGAGATTGGTGCGAATTGTGTTAGATTGCGTGATTTAATTTAGGAGCGCTTCTGGGTCGGGCAGTGACACTGACACTGGCAGCTTGGTCTATAGTCTTGAATAATCATGGCGCGATTACTATGTTATCCGATAACATCAGTAAGATGGAACGATTTACAAGGCAGTGTATAATCTACTATAATACAGATTTCTTTTCGACAGCATGGGCAAAGTCCAACCCCTAAGTACAGAATACATATATACGAAGATTGGAAAAGGATGGGATGATATATATCGATGCAGATGGGGGTCAATGAATGAGAGCTAATCAAGTAAATAATTAGTACAGTTGCGAGGATAGTCGATTAGTGAGCATCATCTATACTCACTAAGAATGGAAAGGATAATAGAAAAGTAAAAGGGAAAGGGAATGAGTGACTCTCTTCACTCGACGAAACAATCGGCTAGTCCATACAACACATCGTTCACCTTCTCCTCACTCGCCTTCAACGCCATCCTCATACAGTGCTTGTTCATATTCCCTGCCTTCGTCGTCCCTGCAACATTCACCCAGTTGGTCGAATTCTCTTCCATCCCATTGATCAGGCTCTCCAACAGATGGTTGACCATATGCATCTTTCGTAGCATATCCGCGTACTGGATTTTTATCGGAGCATTAGTATGCATACCGCTGCTCGACGTACTCAGTACTAGCCCACCCCATAATGCCTCCCATGCTTCACCGCATCGTGCATGAGCATGCGCAGCTGCAGTCCCCGTACCTCCAAGGCCGATAGCTGCTTGCGCTTGTTGGGCGGGAAGGAAGCAGGACGCGTGATGATTAAGTTTTGGGGGGTTTATGGGAAGAGCTTCACATGCTCGTGAGAGATTGTAGTATCCTGACATGAGACGTATGCGTTGGTCTCGTGTCAAACGTGGTCTCGGCTGTACCTTTCCAGAGGGGTCCTCTTCAGGGCCACTACATTTATTCCATTCCTCTTTACCCCTCAACATCATCAGATAATATGCCAATCCCAACAATGGCCGCAACTGTGTTGGGTACCGATCGGCGACAGTCATCGCACTAACAATGTCTTCAGATTGACCAGCAAACAAGACGTCTGCCCACAGAGGTTCGACCGCTTCGTGGAGGTCCTCGTGAGCACAGAGTACAGCGACTTCAGTTAGTTGGGTGAGGATAGAGGTGGAGGTGACGATGTTATTGATGTTTGCACTAGTCCCATCGTCGCTCGCAGGAGTAGCATCAGGATTCTGACATACGCACATCGTTAACACGCTCAAGGCCCACCGTTCTGTGGTTCTGAAGCCGTATTTATGTGCTATTTTCGCAATGCTGATCAGCCGAACGAGATGGGCTCGCGAGGATGGCATTGCGAAGACTTCGGCGGGCAGAGCGTATAGTGCCCAAAGTAGGGCTCGGAAATCGGAAGCGGTGTCTCCGGATAGGAGGATTGGTGTGTCATCGGAAAGTCCTTCGTGGGAGATGTGATGACATTGTGGGGAGGTTGTGTAGTCGCGGCTGTCGTGAGTTATGAGACTCTCAGTCGAGTCGGATCGAGGTATGTTGTCCAAGGAAAACATCCCTTCGAACGCTGAGCCATCTCGAGAGAGTATGTATCGGTGGACCTGGGCGCGTAAACCACGTTAGCATTGTGGAGCAAAAGAGCAACGAGCGGAGGAAAATATAGTAGTGTATAAACAACCGTTGGAGAGCAATAAACAAGAAAAGCCTACATACCTTGAACAAAACACCCTCGACTTGAATCACAGTATTCCCATCAGGAATATAATATTCTAAATCTTGAGCAATAGGCTGTCCCATAGTTGGTGTTTGGAGGCCCATTGGTTGAAAAGGAAGAAAGGGAATATGGTTTTTCGATGGATTCCTGGCTTTAAAGAATCAAAGTCTCTAGGTTGTACCGAGAAGGCAAAGCCTCAGTTTTCTTCAGTCGATGAAACAGTAGTGTGGCGTATGGCGTCTGGAGCAGACTTTGGATTTTGAATCGAGTAGGGTAGATGTCGGAAATGAACGGGATAAGATATGAGAGGAGATGGGTGAAGAGAGACGAAAGATGAAGAGGAACGTGGAGTTCGTGAGGCTATAGCAGGAACCGAAGAAGGAAGAACTTCGGACCAACACGAATCAATCAAAAGATCAAGGAACGATGGACCTCGGAAAGACCGGATGCTGCAATTATGAAGACACCGGGAACAAGTGAGGGGGAGAAAAACGAAGAAATACCGAAACGGACCGACGGTGACAAGTATGTCGATGCCGCCGGCAATATTTGGCGCTCACTAACGTTCGAAATTTCAAAATGAACTCTTCAACAGTAACTTGCGCCGCGGCCGTATAATAATAGCGTGCACTGTTTTCTTTTTCTTCTTTCATTTCTTCTTTCATGAACAAGACCAGAAGTACGAACAACTCAGGTAGACCCACATCGAAGTGATGGTTACCGTTCAGACTAGTGGTGTGGGTCCATTAGACCATAGAACAAAGCAGCTTTTGTTCATTATTATCAAAAGCACCAACCCACCGCCTTCACAAAACAAAACAATCTATACGCGGCGCGCAATTGACTTTACCTTCTCATAAAATGGGCTTCGAATAACGATAACTTCATCGCGCCTTCATCGCACACGACTCACGACTTTTTACGACTTGGTGGAGCTTACCTACGGTACGTTTCTTTACTCTGTCTGCAGTATCGGATGTGCTTCTTATGCGCGCTTTCAGCCATCATCATAATCAAAATGCCGGAAAACACTTCGCCAACCCAATCTCTGGTGCACCGCCCGGTTGAAAGCAATACACAGAGGACCGGTTCTATCTCTCTACCATTACATACCCAGTTAGCCCAACTGAAAGCTGAAGAGTATTCACCTGAAACTCCCGTTCGAGACAAAGGGAAAGGGAAGATGCCAACTATGCTCCCTACGCCGGAGACTCCCATCGACCGGGGTTCCCACTTGGAACCAGTTGACCGCGATCAGAATGCATCTCCAACACAGCGTCCACCACTACTGAGCGAGAGTCCCAGTGAACACGGGATCAACAGCAATGACCTTCATCCTGAAACGCCTTCACACAGTGCTGCTTCCATTGATCTATTGCGCGGGGGCGTGACGTCCTTCTCGATGTCCTCACTATCAGAATTTTGGCCTCATTCGTTAGCAGCGATGGGGAGTGAAATGGAAGCTTTGAGCGTACCCGCTACTATCAGCACGACTCGTATCACACCTGCCGTCGAGCCATTACGCCCCAATATGCGGTCGGTCATCACTATCGACCAAAATGAATACCTTGTTTCCTCTTTGGGTGACGTTCCCGGTGCGACACTGGTGTCTGGTGTTTCGAGCAACACTACTGTCATCGCGTCTCATTATTCCACACCACCAGCTCCGGGATCCTGCCGAGTGGTTTTTATTGGGCTCACACAAGTTCTGGTGAGAATCATAGAACCCATTCCCCGACTATTCAAGCATTACGGATATGATGTCTCCTCTTTCCCTTCTACTCAAAAATGTGCTAGTACGTCTTGGAAGCCTGGGATGAGTGCGGTAGTCACCATATGTGGCATGGAGTATCTCGTCACACAAGTCGAAACACTGGCCTCGCCACCGAGTATGAAGGAACTAGACTTTTCTCAAGTTAAAATCGCTGGCATAGACAATACCGACTACTCGGCCAGGCCTCTTCCCGATACTCATAAAGTCATCATCATCGAGGACATAGAGTATCTTGTTTGGATCGCATTCGAGCTTGGTCCCACCTTGTCTTGGCCAGTTTACA